TTCCACAGACATTTTCACACTCATCTTTTAGTGAGATGCTAAAAATTAAAGATTTGGAATTTTCCATTAAAAAAAAAAGAGATATCAAGGAGAAAAAAGGCTGAAAAAAGACCACAGAAAGAAGTTCAACAAGCAGAAGGTAAGCATTAGAAAAACAAGATAACCATTGAGGAATCTGTCCAAAAAACTCCAAGGAATTTAAGAGTTTAAGAGTAGTTAGACAGAAACTAACAAAATATCATTTGAAGTACTTAAAGAATGGAAAAAAAGGAGGCAGCTTTTAAAAACAAACACTAAACAGACTGTGTAAATCCATCAACTGGAGGGCAGCTAAAGGATAACTGCTGAAGTCAAATACATCTTAAGGCTCACAGCAGAAAGAGACTTCCAGGGTCTTTTTCAATGCTGTTTTCAGCATTCGACAACACCCCAGATAGAGAAGAAGTAAAGAAACAGGATTTCAATACACGGCTCCAAAAAGGCAGTGTTAAATAAGAACTGAACTGTTTCAATACATCCTGTTAAATGGGTGAAAACAAAGCACAAGACCTTCTGAATATTGTGTACAGAATGCCTCAATAAATCAACCAGTTTCTTACGAAAAACTTCATGAGTATACAACTCATTTTCAGTACACTAAAACTGTGTTCAAGTCTGCAAATACTGCTTTTAATTCAGAAAACTTTTGTGCTGAAAATGCTTCCAACAGCCGTTATATAAGCACTGCTAGCACAGTATGGAGACTCAATACTTACCCGTTTGGAATTAGCACTACAATGTTTCCAAAATCATTTCAACGCTTCTATCATAGTATAACATAGTTCCATCAAAAAAACACTCTGGGCAAGAGATAGCTTATTTCAAATGGTAACCTCTAAGGGATTCACACTTCAGAAGTCTTCAAAATACTACTTTAGAAACAATTCTTGTATTTCGGAATAGCTGTTTTATTTTCACATGTTTTACTTTCACATTATGATAAACTTATCTGCACTTGTATTTTTATTATAGCTTGTAAAAAAATTTTAAAAGCCCAGTCTCTCATAGAACAAGAGCCATGGCTTTGGCATTAACTTCCTGAAGAGAACGTACAGCTAAAGAAAGATGGGTAGAAGACAATACCCAGAACCCTTCACTCTAGAGAAGGAAATGTGTTAGAAATACACACAAGTCACAATTCATGTAATAACTCATTTGAGAAATCAAACCGGCATTTTAAAGCTTACTTAAAGTTATTTTGAGAAGTGAATTATTAAAAAATAAGGTAATTAACACTAAATTACTTGTAAATACCTAAATTACTGGAAGAAAATAGTGATTTAACTAAACAATGGCATTTTAGCAAGCTTATTTTCTTTAAGGAGAGCATATTTCACTGTGAGTACCTATGCCTCTCGAACCAGACAGCATTCTGCCCAGTCTCAAAGCCAAATTCAGAATTGCCTTTTCCCAAATTTCAATCATGAAGGGGAAAAAAAATAAGAAAAAAATAAATCATGAGATTTTTTAAATCTATTGCCTAGGAAGAAGAGAAAATTTAACTATTTCACACTCTGGCTAAAATTCTGGCCACATGTCAATTAATGACAAAACGGATTCATACAATGAGAACCAGATTTCATCCCAAGAGCAATTAAATTTTCAGCAAAGCAGCTAAAACCCATCTGTCTCTTCAAGACAGATTTCAATTATTATTCCATAATCTGTTATCCTTATAATTACATTAATATCTACACTATATATATACCCAAAATACTGGCTTTATTTATTTCAGTAAAAATTAACATAGCACAAACATTCATATTGTTACTAGAGCCTCCAGTAACAAGGGGTCAGAGGACTCAATCTCTTAAAACAGAGTCTTGATATGACCTGATAATACAGAGAATGCTCATAAAAGTTTCCTATTTGCCCAAATTAAATTGCTTTAAAAGAATTTTCTTAGAATGTTAACCAACTGATTTGTTGCCTTCAAAACTGGAAATGAAACAAAAGTAGGGATAGTGGAATCAGTTATCTTCTGTTATACAATTAAGAATAAAACCCATTTTTATCCTGATGTCATCTCAAAAACCCCATGCATGTCCTACTTAGCTGTAAGCTCCCATGGCACCATCTTATGAGAGATGGATGCTGGATTGCACATTTGTTTCCATAGCTGTTGGCTCAGTTAGTGAGGAACAGAAGGACTGTCCTGAAGGAGGCCAAATTTATATTTTTTTTTTCCCACTATATGCTTAAAACTAAACTCTACCAAGAGTAGCAAAGATAATCTGTTTTTCTTCTCCCAAAAAAAGGAACAGTAAGACTGAGTAGCCAGCAATCACCTTCCATTATCTTCCAATTCTGGTCGCTATTTCAGAAGCCTAGTTAAAATCCCCTCTGCAAAAATTGCTTTTTCAAAGATAGTCAAAACACTTCTAATCTAAGATTACCCATTAAGAGCTATGCTGCCATCTATAGAAAAGCTCAGGAAAAACGTTTAATATTTGCTGAGGGCGATACAGCTTAAAAGATCAACAGTACAACAGCAGGATGGAAATTAAAAAAAAAGATGAATTTCACTAAACACTACCAATTACTCACCATCTAATTATGTGAATTGTTATTTGGCTACATTGCTTCTACTCACCCCAGCCTGATGCCACAGAAACTCCAGACCCGATTATCTGCTTTGGAGATTTCCCTGGAAAGTTTAATTCCAAGGGGCTGTCATGCTGGCATCGGCTCAAGCACTCAAAATTCTTAAATCTGACTCTTTATCAACTGGATTTTGACACACAGATATTAACTGCTTTTACCCTCACCACACTGGAGGACAGAAACCGCATAATTTGATCACCTATCTCCCAGCAATCAAAACATCTGATCTGCTGACTAATCACAATGATTATTCTCAACGCCTTCAGTTCTATTTTTCTTAAACTTGTCTTTATACTCATTGCCTGCAGAGAAAAGGAGTAACACGGAACAAAAGCTTACATTAACCTACCCAAGAACATAATTCTTCAGAAATAATGAAAAACTGTATCAGTAATTCTTCTGCACCTTCGGATTAAAAACAATTGGTGTTTAATCTTTAGGCTAAAGAAATCAAATATATCATGTTTTCTACAAAAACCAACGAGCACAGGGAGAAAAACACACCACTAAAAGGCAATTCAACAAACATTTGAGAGCTACAATTTCCCCTCAAAACCAAAGCTGACTGAAAATGCATTTCTGCCTTGTAAAAATAAGATGTATTATTGATGTTTCTCTCATTTAAGAGCAAAATCCACAGTACAGTAAGCACTGTAATTCAGAACACTAACAGGATAAAAATCAAAATGGTGGAAAAAACATACAATTTTCTAAATTCAACAGTAAGTATTACTTACAATCTCCTCTTTCTCCACATCCTCAAAACCTAGGAAGTACATTCTGCCATTTTCAAGCCCTCTCTTAAAGCTATTTACTTTCAATAAAGGAATAAACCAAAATAGTGAAGAAAAATATCAAAAGCTTCTAATGTACCTCTGCTCCACAAGGCTTACAACAGCTTCTGTCGGTCAGAATACTGCTGGACTATCAATTCATACACGTGCACAAATTCATGCATGGAAGTCACACTTAGAGAAAACCTAGATACACAGCCCAAAAGCATGAAGAAGTAGTTTTTTTCATTTGTTTAATTATACTATATATATCAAAAATATCTGTATGTAAAATTGATCAGGGACAAAGTTCTATAACTGTTTTTTTCCTGGCATGTGGCTGGGGAAAAAAGTGTTTTTGCAGTGGCCTCTGTTAAACTTTTTTGTCCCCTGTAAACAGCAATAAAGCTACAAAGTTAATACCAGAAAAGTCTCAAACTGCTTTTCCAAGCTGGCCACAATTACCATGAAAAGTTAATAACCGTTTCTAAACTTTTAAGCACTACATCCTAACATCATAGTTTTAAGACAGAAAGCAAACACCTCCACAAGTAGCTGAAAAATACATGAGCAATTTGTGTGGAGTTACATATAAAAGTTTAATTACACAGCTATACCTAATTTTCAGGAGAAATCTCTGCGGTTCTTCTCTTGGTTCAGCGTGCAACCCTACTAAAATTACAAATCAAAGTCTGAGCAGGTGCCACAAACCCTGTCCAAATCCAAAACTGGTATCTACCTTACTAAATTGGCAGTGGTGACAACATCCAATACACCTGAAACAGGTGAAGCATGACACATCAACTAGACCACATTCTTTTTGTTGGAAGTTCTGATTGCTACCATCATATTAATTAAATCTCAGTTGCTTAATTCAAAAGTTTGTTTGGATAAAAGAATATGAGCAGTGAAAAGCAATGAAGAACGGACAATCCCAAGGTCGGCTCCCTGACCTCAGGGGAGGGTCACCACACTGCAACAACTCTCCATCCACTCTTCAGACTGAACAATGTTTCTTGCACATGTTACAAGTTTAGCAACAAGAAAAAGGTAGTTATGCATCTTGTGTATCAGATTTGAGACATACAAAGGTCCTGCTACAGTGAGCTACAGTCAGGCATCTACCTTAAAGATTCTATGCTTGAACAAACTGAGAAATCAAAATAAACTTCAGTTCAAAAGGATCTAATAAAAGTACACTAAAGAAACAAAATGATGGAAGGTGTCAGGTAGGCGACAGCTATTTTCAATCCCAGGTTTAGAGACTGGTAGGAGATAGTTAACCTATCATTTGCAGAAATTCATTCCTTTATTCTTTGTGAGCTCTACCATGAGACTGCATAAGGAAAGACCTGTTCTGTCCCAACTTGATAATAATTTAAAAAAAAAGTATGTAAGCAGTCTAATCAAGGTCATCTGTCCAGAAGCAGGAGTTTCTAAACATGAAGTTTCAAAAAGCTATGAACTACAGAGGAAAAAAACCCAATCATCAAGTAAAAAAAATATATTACTTTTTAAAATATACTTATTAAGCAATAAACGCTAAACACTAAAATTATGCACGTTATGCATACAAATACATACTATGCTGTTCATTTCTGAAGATTCATAACTTCCACATGGATGGACACTTCCAATAGGTTCCAATCCTTCTTCATCCCACATATATGTGCCATCAGAGCTGTCAGATGGGGAAAGCTCAAAAGAGGACCCAGCTCTGTAATTCATCTCCGGAGAAATCACGTTCTCAGCACTATGCTTTGTGCTTTCACTGTTGTCATCCACTGCTTAAAGAAAACAGGAACAGTTAAGATTCCAAAAGCAATCCAATATTCCAAATATAAATATTAAGATGTGTATTATCGGTGTGTTAACTTTTCTGAAAGTGTACTGTGACAGAAATACCTGAAAGCCTTCTATAGTATTGTTCACTCATCCTAGAAGGGAAAAAACCTCAAGCTTGTTTGGTAACTACAACTGAAGTGCCCTTCCAACCTTCATCTTTGCTAGACTTTTATACTGCACTAATTCACCCAGCATGAAGCTACTTTCTAGAATTCTGTGGGTTTTTTCATGTATTATTAGAAGGTGAGTCCAAAAGCATATCCTTTGGATCCAATCTTTCAACTGCATCTTCTCTCAAAAAAAGTGTGTAATATGAGAAGCCCATCAAAGACCTGAAAATGTGGCTTTTAAAAGCATCTTCTGTACCACCAAATAATTTTAAAAGAACTTGTGTCATGCATCAGGAGAAACAAGAAGCAAAAAGAACAATTCCTATTTATAATTTAACTGATTTAGACACCCCACACCTATTCCCACTGCTTAGAAGCTGTTCTCTGCCTACAGAGGTGGAAGGGGGTAGGAAAAAAATTTTTTGAATATGTCTAGTGTAGAGAAATGCATGGAAAAGCATGAGGAAACCTACAACCATACTGCAAGCATGGTTAAATGAGCTACCGCTTATTCTTATCCCAAAGAAAAAGAGCTCTCCAAAGTCACGCTTAGGAAAGATAGCTATCATGCAACAAAATCACTGTAAGAAAACAAGTGGTCCAGCATAGAGCCAAGTTCCATTCTGAAACAATTCACAAGCAATGGGCAATTATATAAACCAACTCAATTACAGTTACAGAATCTTGATTTAGTAGCTAAAATTTTAAACAGAAAGTATTTACCAGACACATTTATATCAAGCCAGTCGTCAGTATTACAGCAAGATCCTTCGCTTCCCTTGAGAGAACTGAACGGCTCAATGGATGTTATAGCCCCATGCTCTAATTCTTGAAGGCAGCTCTCCTTTTGCTGTATTTGTATAGTTCTGTTTGGGTCTTCTATATCTATGAAATCATCACTGAAGTCTTCACTCAAATCATTTTTTTCAGAGGATGACAAAGAAGATATAGATATTTCATCTCCATCATCACTCATACACATCACTTTTGACCCGTGTTTTCCCACACTTTCATGTAGGCTCTCATCAGATTCTGTTCTTTGAGCATTGCTCTCTAGAATACTGTTTTTCTCAATTGCTCTATTAATATTGGTTGAAATTTCAGAGTTCTCCACAATGCACGTGTCAGAAGTTGTACTTTTGCTGCCATCTACAATGATATTTCCAGCAAATCGCTGCCTGGCAGGCTTCAGCAGAGACGGGCGACTTAATCTGTATCCAAAAGAAGGGGCTGACCCAGATCCATTTGACAGCGGGGGCTTCTTTGAACAAGGAGCTGACATACCAGAGTAGGGCCTGGTAAATCCATACTTCATAGGTTCATTTCCATTGGGTACATCCAACTGACGAGCATTTCTTGACAACAAAGTCGACCTCTGAGATGTCCTGGCAGCTAGGTTTTGACTATGGTAAGGCCTTGTAAGATCCACAGCTTTATTAAAGGAATGTGACCTGGTTAAAGATGCAGTAGGAAGGAAAGAATTCTGAATGGAATGTGAAAAACTTTGTGATCTTACCATTTTTTCACAGGAAAAATCCTTGCTATTGTCTGTAGATTGTGCCAGGCTTTCTCCTGAACTTGTCCTTGTGGCACTGGAATTAGCTCTAGGTCTCTGCAAACCTACCACTGGCCTATTTCCATAAAATCCATTTAAATGTGATTTTGGAGCACTGAGTCCAGAGTATGAGGTCCTTCCTGACAGGGTACCTTTGGCAAATTTTGCTGAACTAGAAAGTCCAGGCAAAGACTTTGGGTTTAATTCCTCAGTAGAAGATACAAACATACTGGTTTGCTTTGCTGCTTTTGATGCAACTGAAGCAGCACTGTTCAAACCCACCCTGAGCACATCATTACCCAATGCTCCTTGAGAATACTTCTCCGAATCAATTAATTTTTCATTGGAGTTATGTTTAGAGTTGGTCTCTTTCCCATTTTGATCGTGAAGTTGATACTGATTTGATTTTTTCCAGTTGAAAGAAAAGGAAGACATGCGAACAGTGCCATTGTGCTTGCCGAAGTTTTTGCCGCCGTTATTCCCTGCTAAACTAACAGCTGTCCCATTTGGCATAGGTTGCAAAACACTTCCTAAAGTTTTCGTTCCATATTTCGGTAGCCTGGAAACCAAGGATGTCCTGATTTGATTTTTTTCTTCCATGAGCTATTGGGTACATTGGTCCTTAAATGGTGCTTGAATCTAAGGTAAAGAAAAAACAATTAGACCTGGATCAACCACACCTTAAACAACAAATTTATATATATTTGAATCTATATGTTTGCTACATTCCTGTGCCTAAACACAACGTGGTGATACCAAGTAACCCGTGCAAGTTTTGTGAACTCCACAGAGCACCCGTTACCAGCAGTTGTTTGGCAGTAATATGTCACTCATGTCATATCTCCCTCGACCATTTTTGTTCTCTAGATAAACTGTCTTTTTTTAACCTCCTTTCAAAATCTATAAAATAAGCTCAAAAAGGTGTTGTTTGGTTTTTTTCCCATTTACCTATTTTAAGCAGCAAACTCAATTTTTCAACCGTGTTACAATTATTACATTACATACTTAAAACCTTATATTTAAGAAATCCCACAAATAGAACATAGCACACACCTGCGGTCAGCAATGTGAAATCTGACTAAAAACTAACTTTTCAAAAAAATATTTTTGCAGTTTCCCCAACGTCTGCTATGACATACAAAATAATCACTCATCATCCACCTTCATCATTGCATTTTTTCCAGATCTTATTGATATCCTCACTTACAGTCATGTCATTTTGGTCTATTTTATAGCACATTTATTTTATAAAGGTGTATCTGCATTAGAGCTGTATCTTTGCTTCAAAAGTTTTGGCCTTGAGAATTCCAATCTCCTTGTTTTTATATACTGCCTTCTGTTTCTTCCACACTCATCTACATATCCATCCTCCTATATGGACAACTAACTATATCTGTATCACCCTTTCGTACACACTTTGTTGATTTGCCTGGCTATACGATACGAACAATTTGTCTAAGTGCTGTTATTAAAGACTTGCCATGCAGACAGTAAGCCTTGAGAAGTCTCTGATTTTCAGTGCTGCACCTTAAGACAAGTTTTACTCTTGTGTTAAAGTCTGTAGTAGGTTTCTCTTTTTTTTCCAAGACAGTTGTAAAAGGGTATCTTGCTTTTGCTAGCCTGGATTTTATGTTCTCATCAGTTCCACCCAATGGTCTTACCATGGTGTAAAGACAGAATTGCAGTCGTTCATATGCTATTCCCTGAAACTATTACCTGCCTTTTTCTTTTCACAGACCTACACACAGCTGGCAGGACTGAAAAACCCATGAAAAATTTTAAACCATGGCAATCATGAGAATCAACACACAGCCAGTAACATTATACCTACCCAAGGTACAGAAATTATTTTGTGTAGCCACAGCAAGCATTAAAGTGAGTCACTCCCCAAGATACAAGACCTCACTAAGAAACACTTAAGATAAAAATCAACATAGCATTGAATACATGCAAACCAAAATACCCTTAGGATTTTGTAAATGAATAGGACGCCCCAGAGCTGTACTTCTGGAAGTAGATCAACATTAAGAAGATACAAAGAGAAATATACTCAGAGACATGGGTTTTTAGGGGCTCTCAACATAGTGAAAGTCTCAGAATCCACATCCTACAACGGGTAAGGTACATTGCCATTTAGACACAAATCCAGAGTTTTCAAACACTAAGTGAATTCCTGCACACCAGAGGCATAACCCTCACCTAGGCATGTGAAGAAGCACACAAGTATTTCCCTCCGGCAACAGCAAAACATTTAACTCATTATGTATATAATACGTGCCTGTATGTGGATTCAGGTGTCTAACGTTAGACTTCTCAAAAACACTGAGCAACATCATGAAGAAAAACATCCACAGCATCTCATTCATGTATCTGTACACATAAACAGGGAACTTGCCTACAGTGTACCTGTACACCTTGCAAATGAAAAGATCGTTATGCTTTAATATCAAATGTTAACATCAAAGATATTTACTTTAGGTCACATATATAAAGGCAATAAAGTACAATTTTTCTGAAAAACTAATTCCACGCATAAAAACTGGCCTTTAACATCGTGATGAATTCATTCACAGCAAGCATCATACTGCAGATCCATCCAAAGATATCCCAACTCTAACAAAAAAGGTTTAAGTCTCAAAGAAATCTCCCAAATTATAAGTTAAATTAGAAACCTGCTAATTTAACTTCCATGCTTTATGGATAATTCCCTTTTCACATCTGTCCTCCATCTCTTAGGTGACGGCAAAATTTAAATGAAGCCATTTAATTAGATTACTTTAATCCTCCATCAAGTGCCGCAAATTAAACTTGAAAGGAAGACCTTTCAGTTCTCTAGGAAGGGTGCTTGCTCATTTGTCCTTAGTTAGGGAAAGACAAAACATGGTCTTCAAGAAAATTGTACTGACTGCTTAAAACACTTCAGATAATTAAAAGACAAGCAATACCTGCCTGTGTTTTATTAGCCACATAACTGTAACTACAGTGTCACCTTTTCAGCTCTAGGTTCCATTTGTTTAGTTGAAAAACAAAGCCATCAAAAAAACACCCAAAACTTAACAGTATCATGTCTGGCAGATGTTACTTTCCCAGACAATCTTGTTAGTTTTCTTAAACATCCTTAAATTTTGACATATATTTACTACTAGAAATTACATTAGCCTAACAATTAAATTCCCTTATCAAGAAGAACAGTACCTGCAAGCTATAGTATGATTTCTGCATCCCACAAAACTCAGGTTCAATACAATTTAAGTCGTATTCTGCTGCATTATAAAGAAAGTCAATGTATTTTTAGACTTTGGCAATTTATGGATTTTTTTTTTTTTTTAACACAGACATTTGGGCAAACAAGTCTTATATGCTTTGCCTTGGGAAATACATTATCTCCTGCACAAGAGCCTAATTGTGAATTAAGCTCATTATAAAGAGCCTAGTCATACATAATGATCCAGGGAAAAAGAATTAAAACATACAGACCCTCTCTGAAGTATAATCGGAATTAACCAAAAAGCTGCTACATCCTTACTTTCAAGGATATTCAAGATCCTGGTGATAAGCAAACGGGTATTCATTCTCACTCTCCTTTGTGCTTTCTGTATAGGATTATCTACACCTCAACAAGATTCCCCAGTGTTAGTTTCAACTAGCAAACACAAGATCCAATTTTACTTCATTCAGTCTGTTTCAACAGCACCAAGAAGGCAGTTTCCTACATATTAGATTCTCAGAAAAGTTCAGTTTTGCATCTGAGACTCTGCATTACATCTTGTCGAATTATTATTACAGCGGAAGACAGTTTAAGCCTCATACCTATCAGCATCTGGGCACCTTAAAATACTGCAATCCCTATGATCCATGCCATCATAGAGCTAAGAGTATTTTCAAGTTCCAAACAGATTACTATGAGGGGACCAGGTTCCCCTCCCACTGTCATAGCAGCGTGGAATAAACAGCTGCTGGATGAAACATGTCTGACAGACCAGCGACAGACAAGAGCAATTCTGCAGAACTACTGCTACGCCAAGTTTCATTCTTCTCAATTTGAAGACCACCTCGACAGAAATACTGAGTAGCTAACTTAAGATGCTTTTCTTAGAGCAACTTCGTTCCCAGCGCGAAGAACTTTTTTCTTGAGGCAGAAACACACATAAGTTTGTGTAATGGGATTGTGCTGGAAAACCAAGACATCCAGAAGCAGCAGGAGGTGTTGACTAACAAAAATGGTACTTCCCTGTGGGCCTGTGACAAGCCAGCAGCTATAGTGGTACACAAGCTTCCTTACCTACCCAGAAACATTATGTCCATCAGTGTCCATATATCAACAAACACCAATTATTAATCTGCCAATTTTTTTTTGGTAATTAGTGTGAGCAGACTGACAGAACTGCTATGAAGCTCTGAATAAATGACTTAATCATATTTCTGCCATCATGTGCTGGATGTTACTGAAGCCAATGAAGTTTAATGATGATGTTTGCCAAGCCAGACCTTATACTCCTATTATTTGCCTTCTTCAGAATCTGTTTATGCCACTTGTTTATCTCAGTGACAGGTGATCTGAAGCAGCAGTTTACCAATATTCACGTATATTTGTCTTGGCAACTCCACGGTGCTAGAATTTCTAGAGACCTTCATTCTTTTTCCCGGATAACAGAAGCACATTTCTAATATACAAACAGCTTGGATAAGAAGGTGAGCAGATTTCTTCAATAGTAACCTAAATTATCTCCTCTAGCAAAAAGCTTACTTGGCTGCAGCATTACATTAGGGCAGAGAAAAGAACTGTTAACCGCTGCCCAAGCAATGGAGAAAATGAGTGAAGCCCACCCCAGGGAACTGAAGAGCAAACAGCAGGCAACGAGCAGATGGTTTGAGGCAAGCACAATTACTACCTTAAGCAACAATTATACCCTGTTTTCTGCACCCCACTTCTAACAGGAGAGCCCCGCTGAAATCTGAGACACAAGACCAGCTCTTCAAGGTGCTACGGACACGCCTCAAGGTAGCTGCCCCTAACTTCCCACTGGTTTTCATGATAACCCTCCACACAAAGAAAACTTGCCAACTTGAAACAAGATTGTAGTTTACTTCTAATTATCTGCTGAATCTAGATACACCACATGGCCTTGGTGAAGTGCATGTCTATTTCAACTCTGTCCACAGCTTATAAAAACAACCTCTGTACATCTCTGTTTTAACACTACAACTTCTGTTTGTTTATTTTTCTATTCAGGACACCCAGTACACAGATCTTTTCGCCAGTGATCTGTGGTGAAACTTGAGCATAACTTAAGAACCATTTTTCTTAAGAATGTAATTAAAAATGCATTAGGGCAGTTATGTGAAAATATCTTATTTCCATCAGCGGCGGGAGGTATTGAATGACATAAGGGAAAAAAGTCATGAGGCCCCTGCAACAGATGCAGCAAAAGGCTTCTTCAGCAAGTACTTTAGAACACTCCATGATGGGTAGCACGGCTGCAAATCAATTTTCAGATTTAAGAGGACCATGGGAGCTTAACAGAATGAAAGAAACAGGCAGGAGATGTAGCTAACAAACACCTGCTCTGGGCAGGACAAGCCTGAGGAGTCAGCGGTGAATCCTAAGGATTCATGTTGTATAAACTGAACTGAATCAT